ATCCAGTGCATTCCTTGGCCTCAGTTTTCTCAACTGTAAAATGAGGTGTTGCATCACATCTCTCAAGACTCTTTTTTACCATTCTCTATCTGACTCATTTGAAACCCTTAAAATATGTTAAATAACTTGCATTCATTTCCTCTGTCAAGATGCAACTCATATTCCTTGCAAAGCATTTAGAGCAATGCTGCTCCGAGCAGGGTCTGCAGAAGGTGCTGGTGCTCAAACTTGTTCTTTCAGACTTGCGATATGATAAGGACAGAAACTGAGAGAAGCTATTTAGTAACTTTAATAGCAACCTGGTGTTGCCATGACACTCAAGTGGATCCATTTTTCTTATAATTCATTTCTACAGAGTTTTGATGAGGCCTCAGTCCCCAGTGAATTGGGGGCAAAACACCTGGCCTTTTATAAAAAATAGAAGTACTCATCTATAAACAACAAAGGAAAAATTTAAATCACTTTTAATTCCATTATTCAACCAAAGTCACTTTTGTGAAATGACCAGTTAGAAGTGGAGAGGGATTTCTTTTTGTCTATATCCATCTGTTTAGTAATTTTTGTAGTTTTAATTACAGGCATTAAAAAAAAAAAATTTAAGAGCCAATATGAAAAATAAATAGATAGGGATAAAAGATATATAATTTGGCCCCAGCAATTTTGCCAAAGTGGATTAGGTCATCTCAGCCATGGATAACTGAAACCATGTGGAGAAAGTTGGAGTTGAAAACCAACTTTCTGCCACTCGCCCGCTCTGCGAGATTCCCCAGGACTGCCCAGGTTTCAGTGGGTGAGGTTCTGTCCTAAGAGGGGCCATCGGTGCCCACCTGGCTGGCAGAGGCTTCTCGACCTCTCTCAGGGTTCAGGCTTCCACCCAGGTGTCTGTGGCCACCTCCTTCTGCTGAGTCAAAGTAAATGTCCTTGGTATTCTGAGAGACTCTGAGGAGAACTGAGGAACAGTCGGGAAATGGCCTCCAGAAAGGAACGGCCTCCAGTGTAATGTCTGTGGATGACCATCCTCTGTTCATAGAGGATGTCCTCAGAATGGCGTTGCCTTAATTAAGAGCCCCATCTCCCTCCCCCAAAGGCAATGCTGCCTAAGGGTGGTTTTCGTGACTGCCACAATCAAATGGTAAAGCTGCTGACTGAGACACAAATGGCCACACACTGCCCAGCATTAGGCCATCTTTATACGCATTATAGGGCATGATAAAAGAAAAAAAATGGGTGGGAGTAGGAT